ATTTGACAGGGAGCAGCACATGGATGTCGTTTTTTTGGCACCTCTGCTATCATGAAACTAGTATGGATAGGTTCAGGCACACTTTTGCTCGTTTTCAGCATGAGGAGGAAGAAGATGATTTAATTTCTTTGAGGGTAAGGATGATGATGCTGATAGTCCATATGTTGAAGCCCTGCTGACACAGCAGCCTAAGAATGTCGGAAGTGCATCGTTCTGTGATGATTCTGCCAACAAACAAAGGAAGAACAAGGAAGAAGAGAATTCTTGTCCTGTTGCAGTGCAGTTGCCATCTGAAGAAGGCGATCAAGAGCTGAAGCAACATGGAGCATCCCGGCCATCCTTGAATTCTCCTGGCAGCAGGAGGCACAGGCGCAGAGGTAACAGAAAGAAGGGGGAAGATGGTTCTGCTTCGAGTCCTATTGAAGCTCATGTGCCATCTGAAAAAACGAAGCAAAACAAGTCAAATTCTCCTGGCAATAGAAGGCACAGGTGTCGTGGTAACAGCAAGGAGTTGCATGATTCTGCTCTGAGTCCTGATGAAGCTCATGTGCCATCTGAAAAAGGGAAGCAAAAGAAGAAGTGGAATTCTCCTGGCAACAGAAGGACCAAAAGTCCTGGTAACAGGAAGAAGTCAAATTCTCCTGGCAACAGAAGGACCAACAGTCCTGGTAACAGGAAGAAGGAAGAAGATGATTTAATTTCTTTGAAAGGACTAATCCTGTGAGGATGCTGTACAAGAAAATAGGAGCAATATGGATCTCAAAACTGAAGAAAAGCAGGCCACCTGAGTGGCTCTGTGCTCAGAAAAGAGGATTGCTTACTGTTTCACAAAAATAGGATTTTTCTAAGCCATCCTCTGTCTATTAGGCCTTTTTCTAAGCCAGTCAAAATTACCAGGATAAAATCAGGGATTAAATGAGCGTTGGTTTGAACTCGACAAATATTTTTTATCAGTTAACCATGTTATGTAGCTACTGCATTGTCTTGCCGATAATCATCTTCACACACTAGATATCAATTTATATGTGTGATTTCATTTGAATCTTGTAAGCCATAAAATTATTTTTGGCATCATCTGGTAGCCGGAAAAATGTTTAGTGTTTACTCACTCAATGTGGGTTGGGTCCTATCTTGCTTTTGTTTACTATACTCCTACTTGTTTATGTTAGCAATTAGAAAACCTAAGATTTAGGGCCCAAATCCAGGCCCCACGACTAATTTGTTAATGCATTAACCAAATGTGAAATGTGGCAGCATCAGCATGAGTATCGGGGGCCATCCTCCTTGGAATTTTGTCACTCTGTTTTTCTTGCTGGTCAAAGTGCGAGTACTGACAGGGGTTTTTGTTCTTAGATTTGGCCACCGGAGAGGATTGGTTCGATTGGTTCAAAGGAGTAGGACACGGGTAAATTGAATTCTTTTGCCATTAATTTACCTTTTGCCATTTTTCCCACAACCATCCAAGTCAGAGTATAAGCGACAGTTCATATGATGCAGCCAGGCCCTGCATTTGTTGGTGCATCTTCATGTCTACCATTTGATACTTCACAATTTTGGTCCTTGCCCCCCGGAAGCCAACCCCGTTCAGCGAATCTATGGCATGATTCAATTGGTGTGTCTCATGTCGTAACTCATCCGCCTCAGTCTCGTCTTTCGTTGACGCCGGAGCACAACGTAGTAGTGCTCGGGGGCGCATCTCTGCGGAAATCCTTACAAAGTATCCGAACCGGCTGTGGAGATTGGAAAAGGAAATCCCTAAATGCATCTCTGAAACAATGACATTTTTTCAGTAATGAACTGAGACTAGCAGTTCATTTTTATTCTATAGGGGGGATCTTTTTGGATGAAATTCTGAACACTATTCAAAGAAATAAGCAGCTGGCATTTGTTCAAGAATATACTAAGTCTGTGAACATTGTTTGTTTCTCTGTAGCCATTTGTTCAAGAATGTACTAATTCTCTGAACATTGTTTTGTTTTCCTGTAGCAAGTTATTTCTATAAACACTGAACATTTGCAAGGAAATCAGCAGCTTTCATTGTTAAGAGAATGAGCTAATTCTCTGAAAAACGTGTTGTTTTTCTGTAGCAAATTATTGTATGAATTCTGAACATCTGTGCAAAGAAACTGAGCTCTGAACATTATTCAAAACAACAGAGATAGAGCACAATCTATATGTACATGAGCATTAAGCTAGAAGAATTCCTAATGTTACTGTGTTCCTTGTGTTTTTGGTTTTTTTCTCTTCCATGCTGTAGCACAGAGTCCATAAGTTTCATTGTTGTTGATTTTTTGTCAGTTACATATTTAACTGCAACCTGTTTTCTTGTTCACGCTGATTTTCAAAGTCCAAACTATTTGTCAGATAAAGACAACTCATTTTTAGCAGTTCATAATATTGTCGCTGTTTAGGGTCTAGTGTTTCCTTCCTTGCTTTTTGCATCACGACGCTTCACCCATGTTTTGACTATTTAAGTTGGTGTACAACTGTACATGGTATGTAAATATAATAGTCTGTTCTAACCTATTCTCTGTTTTTTTTCAGAGCGTGGCCTCCGAACATTCAGCAAAAGAGGGACATTGTGAATTTACTAGATTGCGACAAGTCTACACAGGGAATAGGCCGAGTTTGCAATGAGCAGCTTGCAGAGCTACTATGGCCTGAGTTCTCAAAGAGGAGATGGCATGGATTTAAGTACATTAATGTCCTTGTACAGCAAGGGAAGCTCCCAAGGTATTGGAAGTGAAATACTCCCAAATTCTTCTTCTCCGCCTGACAGTACACAAAGCATTGGAAGAGGCAACTGGGCGACCAAAGAATTAGTTCATTGGTTCCATACGCCATGGCAGAAAGTGGAGGCCGATCCCCAGGATGACCCTTTCTGCCGGATTCAATTAAGATGACGAAAAGTTTTTTGCCAAGGCCTTTTTTCCAGTATGCGTTTGAATATGGACACAGACTCAAAGAACGGTGGGATCTTTATGTGGTCGGGCTCCAAGTGGACCTTCAACCATGAGTCCTTCACCTGTCCGTTGCTCGACGGTCTGCCCAAACCTGTGCCGGGTCGTAGGATGAAAGCTGCTTTTACTGAGTTCTACTCAATGTAGCGGCGCAATAGGAGTTATTTTTGTATTACCGCTCTGCTATTGCAAGCTTCATCTGGATCTGTTATGTCATCCATATGAGCTAAGTTGAGAGGGAAATGGAAGAGGAGGCTTGGTTCGACATGATCTTCTGTCACGTCAATCCTTGTTCCTCAGAGCGGCGATCACACAACGGACGGGATTATGGAGTCGTCAAACGACATTACAGTTGCATCAAAGGTATCTAAGCAATGGTAACATCATTTGAAGAACATCCCTTCTATTTCTTTTCATTCCCTGATTTTTTTGTAGGTTAATAACTTACAGCGTAAATGTCAATAACTTACATCATAAATATCTTTTTATAGGTAGTCTTTCAAACTAAAACGACAACACAGGCCTTACAAGATACTTCCTTTTTTCGTCCACTTTTTCTTCCTGCTAGTATCAGGTTCGGTAACATATACACAAGTAAAAATGCTCATCGTTTTTCTCTGCGCCACCATGCAAAAAAAAAGTGCCCCAAGAAGATAATTGCCTCCATTTCTTTCCCGTAGCATCCTATGTGCGTTGTAGCTCTCTGCCCACGACGTTGCGTTATGTCACCTGTTTTTGGAGGACAGATAAAGGGAATTAGTCCCTTCTGCTTTATATATAAGAAAATATGATAGCCATAACAAATCCTATAAGATTAACACTGCTAGTCCAGAATATTTAAGCATTACCGGATTATTTTGGGGGCATTGTGGCTTTTTATGGCCTGGCAGCCTGCACTTGGAACACTTCCTTACTGCTTTTTGTTTCTTAAGCTTATCAGAAGCCTTTTCATACATGGACTTTGGCCTATCACCAAGGTTGAAACCTTTTGTGCGTGACAGCGGGGGGTCTCTCAACCCAAATGTTTGATGCACCTCAACGCCACCCATGCTAGACGCACCAATGGTAGACACAATGTTTTGATGCACCTGCGTAGGGATATGCAGGTCGCCATCCCCCTCCTGCCTGGCATCAACATTCAGTTGCTGAGGATCATCAATACACCGTCGCTTCCCACCTGAGAGTTGTTGTTCTTGGCGGAGCCGCTTGTCTAACCTGACTTTGTTTATTGCCTCACCAATTCCTTCCACGAACAGGTCGTACGACCTGTCGTCCGTGCATTCGTTTGACAATGCGTCCGACACCTGGCTCATGACTATAGAATGCCTGACTGTCAAGTGTGTTCTCTGTCCATTTTGACCAACATTTCCATCCGTCATCATAGCTAACACATGCCCTGCAGCTACTGTCCACCTAGGATTTATAAAGCTTTCAGGGAGGCTACGTAACCCAATGTGTCTTGCTACCGCTAGGACGTGGCAGCAATGCAAACCGTCCCGATTGAACTTGGAACATGAGCAGCGGTAGACATCATCAGGTGATATTGACACAGTGTATATCCTCTTTGAAAACTCTGCGTCCTGGTATTCGCCACGCCTTGTCACAAGAAATGCTCTTGTTTCACCAGCAGCAGCAACGACCTCAACTCTGTAAGCTGTGGTTTTTTTCATCTCTTCCACAAATTTGGCGTATATTGGTGGTGTGTATATCTTTGCAGCCTCTCTTTCCATAGGGTCGTAACTCCAGTAACGTTGTTCTCTCAGTTCTGATTTCTCTCTCAGTCGATCAAGGTCGCTATGCTTCTTTTCCTGAACAATCTGGTACTGGTTGAAAAACGTTGCAATCGAGTCCTTTCGGAGGACGTAGCCTTTGAACAGAGAGTTGGTGCTCTCGCTCCTCCCAGTTGATGACGTGAATGGGAAAAATTTGTCCATGTAGTATGCAGGGACCCACTCATCTCTGATTTCAAACAACCGCTTTAGGTGGGTTTCATCTTGAGCATCATGCTTCTCCAACAGAGCGTGCCATCCGCTCTCAAACTCTTCAGGCGTGAACGAGTTCCTGATTAGGCTCCGGAGCTCTGCATGCAAAGTTCCTCGGGCAGCAAAGAAAGGGACTAGTTTCTGTTTCATTTTCCTCTGGATGTGCCAGTTGCAGAAGCGGTGGGTTGAGTGCAACATGACAGCACGTATAGCATTCCGCATTGCGACATCCTGGTCTGTTATTATGGTTTCCGGGTGCAGACCCCCCATCGACCTCAGAAATGCTCGAAACAGCCACCTGAATGTGTCTTCCTTCTCATCCTTTAACAATGCCGCACCAAACAGGACAGTCTTTCCATAGTTGTCCACGCCAACCACAGGGGCAAATGGCATATTGTACTGGTTTGTGGAATAGGTGGTATCAAAAGAGACAAACTGCCCAAACTGGCTGTAGTTTGCTCTACCTATCTGATCTGTCCAAAACACACTTCTAACGGTGTTGTGTGCGTCGACCTGGAGCTGGTAACTGAAACCTGGCATCTTATCCTCAACGCTCTTGAAAATTTTCAGCAGCTCCTCAATGTCTTTGTTCTTGTGTTTAAGTCTTTTCTTTGCATTGCGGTTGCTCAGATACTTAGCATCAAAAGGTACTCCTCTGAAGCTCCCCATCATCCTCCTGAATATGGTCATCACTTTCCTGGGGGGCACTCTGCTTTCTTGAAGAATGTCAATCAATGCCTTGTCAGATTCAGACATCCTTTTGTGGCACTTCATAAACCTAACCAGCCACTCACTGGGAGACAACTCATGATTGTGCTCAAGGTTTGTGGATTTTATAACCCATCGTCCAGATTCTTCTTTCACTATTATCTTAACTGGACACATTGTCCTGTTGATTCTGGAAGTCATCCTCTTCCTCAGCGCAGAGTCGTTGCACGCATTTGCCCGACTCCGGTTACAGCTGAATGACTGCTTGTTTATCTGCTTTGAAACCCTCGACTCATATGTGGTGTCCCTTTTTACCGCAAAACCCACACGCCGGGCATATGAGGCGAAAAAGAAGAATGCTTGGTCCCTTGAATCGAACTCAAGACCTGGCTCCGGCGCAGGAGCTTCCATGATTTCCCGAACAGATGGATAATCACCATTACCAAACATTCGGTCCATATCATGTTCCTCGGCTGTCGGGGGCTCAGGTTCAAGTGCACTTTGAAGCTCTGGGTCTGCAGCCACACCATCAGTCTGTTCCACACCATCCAGCACCGAATCTCCCTGGTCCGTGGCTACAGCTGCTCCATCCACCGGATTCGGGCCTTGCTGCGACTGGTGGACTGCGAAAGCAACGTCTCCACCCTCAGCAAGCTCATCTTCATGTATATCCATAACCTGGAAAAAACATACAGATGCAATTCCTTTTTTCTATAAGTATTTTTCTCTTTTTGGTTATTTTTAGATAGGTACACCTCACAAACTTGTGCATTTTTCAAAACATCCCATAAGAGTCATAGTTTCCTTTTCTTCATACCTCATTCAAGTCGAAGAGTGGTGGCTGCCTTTGCTCATGTGACTCTGTTGTATCCATGTCGAGAACATCATCAACCGAAGTGCCTGCTGCATTGGGACCATCCTCATCTGCATCAATAGCCTGGGGGCGGCACATAGAAAAGCATTTTGTGTTTATAAGCTCCTCATTTTTATCTCTTTTTTTGATAGTAAACAGCATGCATGCAGCTTGTGTTTGTTCATCAAACCATAGGTACTCAAAGTCATGTTTCTTTTGTACCTCGTTTAAATCAAACAGTGCAGGTTCTTTATGCTCATGAGGATCTGTTCCCGC